AAAAAAAAAAAAAACCTCAAAAACAACTGTACATGTGGTATTGCTTTGAGCCCATGGACCCTGAAGTATTTGTGTGTGGCATGACAAGCTTGCAGAGTTCGAAGCTGCCGTCCTTCTCCACCTCCTCTCATGACTGAGACCCCATGGGCTTCATAATGAGCTGGAGTCACCTGTGTCTGCTGTGTTTTGTGGCATGGACATTTGCAGCTGAGGTCCACAGGAAGGACACCATTTCCTGGATCAAACCACAGAGTGCAAAATGCTGTGCCCTGAATAACACAGAGTTACTGCTAATGTCAGTAGGGGGAGTTTTCCCAGCTTTGATTTAATGAGAGTGTACAGCAAAGCCAGCTGTTAGCAGTTCTTAACTGCTTGCTGGGGAGACCAGGAGAGGGACAGAGGACTAGGAACATCTTCTCTCTTAAGAGCTTCAACAGGTGTTGAATAGTGACAGCGGAGGTCCTGGAGTGTCTGATGTCCTTTGGCTGCTGAACATGTGAGTTCTGCAGATTTGCACAGACCTGTGACTACACAAATAAGGAAGTTCATGCAGGAGTCCTTTGAAGTTCTACTCCTCTCCCCTCAAAAGGAGCTCCTCGTGAAGACTCATATGAAGATAGAAGAGAGAGAGGGGAGGCACAGGAAATGCTGGCTGCCTCTTTGTCACTTTCAGCATTACCAAACTAATTTTAAGTCATGTGCATTTTTGATTGATGTCAGCTGCTTTTCTGAACAAAGAAACCACTTGAAGCAAGTCCTCGGGGAAGGAAGTGTGTGGCTCTCATTTCTGTGATTTTTGTCATTTCTAGAGAACATGAGTAAACACGCGTGGTTGTTGAGGGTCTGACCACCCTTCAGAATCCTTCTGACACTACTCTGCGAGAACTAGGCAGAGATAATCTTTTAAAAGGTAGAGAGTTCAAGATCCCATCACAAAGAGAATAAAGTCTCTTGCTCGGATGATTTATAACTTGAAACACGTTGTCATGTTTTAGTAAACCCACTTTATTAATTCCATCCTTCTCTGTGGAAAATTAAAGGAAGATAAATGTTCTGTTGCAGCACCGTCCTTTCTCAGTAGCATTTGGGCTCACAATAGCGCAGTGGAGTGGCCAGGCTCCGTTCGTCATATAGAAAGCACAGCCAAATTCTGAGTAAAACCTCTAATTGAATTACCTGCAGTGCACTGACAGACAGGCTTTCAGGACAGACAAAGCTCTGCTTTCCCCAGCAGAAGTAGGTCAAGTTGAAGTCCGCCTTGTGACTGTCTGTTACTGGTTTCGACAGCGCTCACTGTGGGATCTGCTTGGGCCCTTTTTCCTGTGTTGGAGGAGCTGTCCCTGAAGCAAAGGAGTTCAAGCATTATCCTCCCGGTTTAGAGAAAATTGATAGCAGATCAAGTTATAGGGAAGTGCCTTTGAAATAGAAGTCCTAAGCATTTTTCTATAGATTACCGCATTCCTGCATGATTCTTTCTTTATTGTTTTGAAAAAAGAAGATGGGAATTTGAAAGTCACCTTTCTATAGCATTTAGCTCAGTCTGAAAAGTATCGTCTGTTTTAACTTCAGGATAAGAATTAGAGTGTGTCCTGAAAGAATAGACATAGACCATTTATTTGCATGTAGAAAACAAAGAATAATGGGCCCTTGTTTTCTCCTCTTCCCCCTTTTGTTTTACTCGCAGCCTCTGCAATCCCAGACAATGGAAGAAGGTCCTGTCTAAAGCTCAAAGTCTTCGTGAGACCAACAAGTAAGTTCACAGGATGAGTTTCAGAGGGCCCCCTCACTGCGCATGCTTTATCCTATGGTATGGTTCACGGCGGAAGAAAATTTTATTTTCTTTTATTTTTATCGTTAAAAGTTGTGTGGTATCTGTTTCGTATCTCCACATCCATGTTTTAGTTCTCATCGTATTTTTTCTCATCATTCTCCATGATGCTTTTTATTTTGTTTATGAAAGTACACAGCAGTTGCTAACTTGTTGCTTCTTAGACTGTTGTACCTGCTCAGCAAATGGGAACGATACTGGCACGTGGATACATGCCATTGATTGTAGAACAATCTCTACATTAATAAAAGGAAACGATAGAGAGAAAGAAAAAAAAAAAAAGAACCGGGAGATTAAGGGTGTCCTCACTAACATATTTGGCTGTTATCTCTATTTTTGTTATAGATAGCTGTATGAAAACTATAGGTGTTCATGATCGTGTTTTCGATGTTAACGACAAAGTAGAAAATTCATTAGAACCAGCAGGTTAGTATGCTTAGACAATCTCTTGTTAACCAACGCATCTATCCCTCGATGCTTTAGTACTGTTTTTCCTTTCTTCCTCTCCGCATGTGCATGCTCCAGCTGTTCCTGCTTTTGCCCATTGCTAGTGGCTTGCTAATATTACTTATCTTCTACCTCATTCCTCCAGTATCTTTGTGTAGTGCATGCTAGATAGAACACAACTTTTCTTTCCTGGACATGGGTCCCGTTGGATGCAGTATTCTAACATAGAAGCCCGACCAGAGTGCTAAAATCTCACCGCCTTCTCCTACATCCTCAGGGCGTGTCGGTGGATAACTGTGAATGTAAAGGCCAGCTTTCATACGAGACAGAAAATATTGAACATGTGTATGAAACTTTCTTTTTTATCATATTCAAATCCATGGATAAAATCCACTGCCCAAAATAGTGACTGAGTCAATGTCTTTAGTTCTCTCTAGAAATGTATGTGCATCAATGAAACTGATCTAAAAAAATGTATTTCATTTCAGTGTTGTTTACCCAGTTACTGGTGTCACTGGGTCTGGAGACATGTAATAATGTTCCCACCACAATTATGCACAGCAGCTCCTTGAGCCAGGACTAATCCTTCAGTACTAAGACAAAACAAGATTTAAGGATAATTTTTTTTTTCTGTTACTGACATGCACACTCAAACTTCCTCATTAGAATGAAAAAAGTAAAGGCCTCAAGACTATTCATTTTTCTTGAATTTCTTGAAAAACAAATATTCATGTACTCAGTGAATTCGAGGCTAGCCTGGTCTACAAAGTAAGTTCCAGGGCAGCCAGGGCTATTACACAGAGAAACCCTGTCTCGAGAAAAAGGAAAAAAAGAAAAAGATTTAAACACTCACAGTGATGCCTGCTGTGGACGGTGTAAACTGGGGCCATTAATTTACTGGTAACTTTATCCTGGCCTTGGAATGCAACCAGACCCATTGTGTTGGGTGGCAGGCCTCTCCCACTTTGTAGAAGGTCTTGTCTTCCTTTAGACCATCCCCCTATGTAGATTTCAGCAGTTTTCTTTATCTATCTCCCGTGACCATCTTTGAGCTACATGAAATTATTTCCTCTTCACGAAGAGATTTGAGCCCCCTTATGAAGATGATAAGGTTTCTGGGTTTTGGTTTGGTTGTTCGGTTGGTTTGGCTAATAGCTGGACTTTTCTTTGTCATGGTTCTAGAAACTAAAGGGTTTTACGGTCTGATTGATTCATCTTCTTTGAGTATTGTTATAGAGATAACAGTGAGCTTTCGGGGAAACTTACCTGTGCCTCAGGACATACAATAGCTGTGGTGCTGGAGCTGCCAGGAAGAGTTAGACTCTCCCCGCAAGCCCTGCAGTCTCTCTTAAGGCAGGCCTCTCACCCAGAGCGCAAATGAGAGGTCTGTACAGTGAGCTTTGGAGGCCTTAGTAGCTCCCCAGGGATCAGTTAGCTGCTCCAGAAAGTAGCAAGAAGTGAGTGCTGACACGGAGACATTTTAATTGTGTCCTGAAAAACCGGAAGCATTACTGTGACTTTTCAAGGGACCATGCTTCAAGCTTGAGGATATGAGCACCACAGGGACAACGAGTTAAACAGGTGCCCACTCAAAACCACAGAATCTGCATTTTTCTTCTCATGGCCAAGGAAACCTGTGCAGACCACTCAGCTTGTCAGACTGAATACCCTTGGTTCCCATTGTTAGGATGACAGCAGTAGGCTCATCCCACGACTAGAGGAGTAGATGTGCAGAGAAAAGGGCTTAGCTCTCTCAGCTTCGCTAGTAAGTCATGTGTAGAATGACCAGCAGGTTGGGCCTGTTATAATGTGTCCCAGGACTATAATTTTGATCTACATTTCCCATGATCTTATTTTCCAGGTGAAGTCAATTGCCTCTTTATCAAGCAGGATCCTATCTAGAGACATGAGAGATTGCCTGTTTTCGTCTTCCTTTTTTTGTGTTTGGTGGTTTTGCTTGTTTCTGGTAGTGAAGGAGCATACTAAGGACTGTTCTGTCACTAAGAAAATCCCCTTTAAAAAAAAAAAAGAAAATCCCCTTTGAATTAGACATGATAAAATGCAAATGTTAAGAAGCCCTCACACATAAGCATTTTTGACAGTGTCTTCTGAGAGACCAGTTCCTTCTCATACAGAACTCGGAATTCACAGTGGCCCCAAATCTATGAATGTAGAGCTAACTGGTAGAAGTTTGAAAAGTTTGGCAGAGTGTAGTTTAGTGACTGTGTTGGCTCTCTCTCTCTCTCTCTCTCTCTCTCTCTCTCTGTGTGTGTGTGTGTGTGTGTGTGTGTGTGTGTGTGTGTGTGTGTGTGTGTGTAAGAGATTGCTGGTAAGCATCCTCACTAACAGTGTGTGTGTGTTGGGGGGCTATTGAGCCACAGTGCCTGGATATATAAGATTGGAGTGCTTCTCTTTATTTCCTAGAAGATTCAGTCAGTCACATTTGCAGTTCTTTTCCACTGTGTTGACTGAATTAACAGCACTCTCCTCTAGCCACCTCTGAACGTACACACAGGCTTTAGGGATCCAGCGAGCCCGAACGGCTTCTACTGCATGTTCTCAGCAACATGTACTAACTCACCTGTCCGTGGAATGCGTTTGTCTTCATTGTTTGCTTGCACACTCTGCCTGCCCGTTTCCTATCTTCAGGGATGCAGGATGATCTCAGAGCAGACCTATGCCACATTACATGCTCAGAAATATTGTTAGTGTTCTGAGTTAACTGCTGAGCCTCCTGTGTGGTGGGATCCTATAAAAAAGAGGCAAGACTCCATTTGGCTTCTAAAGAGGAACACTTTCTTCTGCCAAGCCATATAAACTATTAGAAGTATTAATAGTCTCTCATATCTAGGTTTAATTTCCATTGGGATAGATTTTACTTAGGAATTTCAACTTAGAACTCTGAAATTTCTTCCAAAATTATCCAAACAGTGGTAAGGGGTGCAGGTGGCAGTGGTGATATATAGAATCCACCAGTGACCTTTTAAATCAAGGCACACCTTATAGAACCCCGACTCGTGGGCATCATGTCGTAGGGACAGCAGCATGCAGTGGGTTTCTCATTTTAGGGAGACACAGGGGGGCATGACTCTCCCCAGTCAGAAGGAAGTACCTGTGTGGTGGGTGAATATGCCTGCAGTTAAAGTAACGGACCACACAGCTCTCCAGAATGCTAATTCCAGAGATTATCTTCCATGCAAGGTATGAAAGGTCCGTTAAGACTTACGCTTCACTTAGAAGAAAATTCAGAGTCTTCCTCCTTGCTAAAGTGAGCTATTCCACAAGGTACCTTCACCGTGCCTTGAGCTGAGTGAGCCTAGGACCATGGACAGCCTTTGCTGAGCCTCTCTGCAAGAGTGAGAAGCAGCTGAAGCCCTGTTCTGCATACTTGCCCTGAGTACAGAAATGCAGCTTGGGTATCTTTTAATAGTACATTTCCAAGCTTCAGGAGGTGAAAGATTGAGTAATATGTTATTGAGAAAAGGGTGGAGAAGAACCCCAGTAGGTGATGTAATTTCAGGTGTATAAATATAAGTGATGTTTCAAAATGAGCTGTGGAATCCTCAGGGTTTATGGTTCTTTTATAATTAAGCCTGAAGTGCTCCATTGTTTTGATTGACACCATATTGGTGCTCTTAAGAATGTGATTTGGATTTTAATTTCAGGGCTATTAAGGGCCTTTACTTCTGCCTCCTGTTAACTACAGATTTAATTAATGCATTAGCAAGGCTGAAAAAGAGCAAAGAAAAGATGAGGGCCCACACGCACTTGGCTACACTGAGCAGGATTTGCCTTCCTATTCTTGCTTCCTAACCTTTTCTAGTCTCCTAAGCTAAAAGCAATCTACCCAGGTTTGCTAAAGTCCAGGAAAGGAGAACAAATTAAACAAAGGACTGCAGGGGCTCCTAGATGAAGACCTGCTGAAATGATAAGAGCCCTCCGGGGCAGTAGACTTAATTCTGAGAAATCATGTTTCTTAGTTCACATGGGACATGAAGGAGATGAACAGAAACCTCCAAAAAGTGTAAGCCGAAAAAAAAAAAAAGAGTTTTCTTTAGGACAGATAATAGAGAGAGTGGCTCTCCCCACTAAGAAAAAGTACCTTTATTCTGACATGTGTGGTAGGCGAATATATATGGGGCTAAAATAATGGACGATTAATCTAGTAAGAGGCGCAGGGTAGGTCACTGAAGGATGTTAGGGGTTGTCTTGTGGGGTCTATATAATTGAGAACAATGATTGGAGTCTCACTTGTTACTGCTCTCTCTGATTAACCAGTCAGCGAATCCCAAGTAGCAATTCTTGTGTTCCCATGGGAAGTCTCTGTGATGCAGAAATGAAATCTGCTCAGAGGCCAACTGTCAGCTCCAGAAACATGTCCAGAGGTCATCTGGGCTAAAAGCATAAGCTAGGCCAGATGGGAGGAAGGAGACAGGCCACATTAGAGAATAGCACGGCTCATGGGCAAGCCTCCAATCTATCTTTGGGCACTAATTACTGCAAAGTTCCCAATTCGAAGTTAAGCCTGTTAATCATGCAGATCAGGGAGGCTACCAAAGTCAGAGGCAGCCTCGCAGAACACTTTATAGCTAAATAAAAGGAGCTTAACTCACTTAATCCATTTTATTTAGAGGGAAACTTGCATCCACACTGATAATTTATGTGCCAAGCTCCAGCCTGATAAAAATAAGAATAGTCAAGTTCAAGTAATTTAATCTGGAGGATGCCGGGCCTGTAATGGAAACAGCACCATAATTGATTCCTAATTGTAGGCAGCCCAGTGGGTACAGGATCTCTGAAGTTTACTGGGTATTATATATGTAGTTTATTTAAAATAGCATTGTTTTGGCATTTGATTTTTCACATTTGGAAATAACGTGTAGGCACTGAACAACCAAAACATTCAACACTAATCCTGTGAAATGCCTAAAAAGAAGAAAATGAGCAGCCCAGCCTGGTTAAGCGCTGACATGCCCACTTAACTCTTTGCCCTACCCTTCCAGTGTGCTCCTTTCTCCCACAGCAACGCAGAACTAAAGGCACCTTTCCTATCTCAAGTTTGTGCAAACTTTGGTTTGGTAGCAAACCAAAGCAGCTTACATGGCAAATGCTATACTGTATGCACGGTTTCCCCCTCAGTTTTAAGGCAGAGTATAAATACTGGGAAGGAAGGCCAATTTTCCCTGCCTCTCCTTTGTTTGCTGTAAATAATGAGTGATTATGCAGACATGAAAGTCAATGGTGGCACAGGGTTCATTACCCTACTTTGCAGAGGGTGGCGAGGTCTGTGAACAGCAGGCTGCTGCGACAGAGTTATTAAGGATGTGAAATCTCATTGGAATGTGTGCTTTCTATTTGAACAGATGACACCGTCCATGAGTCAGCCGAGCCATCCCGCGGCGAGAACGCGGCACAAACACCAAGGATACCCAGCCGCCTTTTGGCAATCCTACTGTTCCTCCTGGCGATGCTTTTGACATTATAGCACATTCTCCTCCCGTCGCCTGTCACTGAGAACATCAGGGTCTTGGAACACCAGAGATCCACCTAACTGCTCATCCCAAGAAGGGACTTGTTATTGGTTTTTGGCAGATGTCAGATTTTTTGTTTTGTTTTGTTTTCTTTCCTTCAGCCTGATTTCTAAGCAACAACCTGGGGTTGCTGGGGGAGGGGGTAAGCTGGTTGCTGCCTCCTTCACCCCACCCCAAGCCCTTGTCCTTGACCTCTCTCACCCCCTTAGAAATTAAATGGACTCCAGATGAAAATGCCAAATTGTTGTAGTAACACCAGTGGCTCTTCGCCTCCTGTGCATTCCCCTCTAGAGCTCACCTCTGTAAGCTCAGGGTGTCAACAGTATGCAGACAAGGAAGAGTAGTAAATGCTGCCCACAATGACCAGGCCCGAGAGGGTGTCCCTCTCCAGTAGAATACTTAGGCCTTCTCATTCAGGACAGTAAGGTGACGGTGTAGAGCGTGGTGTTGGCACGTCACGTCCAGAGTTCAGAATAGACATGGTATTGTACCATATCCTCTAGCAGGGTACAAGTGAGCAGGCTTCTCAAAGGCTCAGTTTTTGAGTCATCAAATATGACTGTCTTAAAGCATTCTTGCCAGCAAAACTTGGGCTGTGTCGAAGAAGCCTCTTCTCCCAGAAAGGAGGGTTGGAGGCAGGATGCTAAATCACAGGAAGTACGAATATTGAGAAAACTATCTGTTGCTGGGGGTGTGAACGCCTCTGACTTCTTAGTGACTGGGCAGTGCACACCTGATTTTTTTTTCCTTTGAATACGGATCACCATGGTGCTACAACCTTTTGTTTTTCTTTTAGGAGCTCAAAGAGGCATTTTTATGAATAAAGTGACCTTCCCCAAGGCTAAGAAGCCTGGGTTGATGAGTAGAGAGTGGAATAGCTTTGGCTGCTCCTCTGGGGACAATATGTACAAGGAAAGAAAGTCTGTGGCCAGAGGAGATGCAATTTGGCTTTGCTGGAGCTCCAGTGTGCTGTGGCCTTTCCCCAACTCCCACCCCAATGCCCACGTTTTGCTCCATTCTCCGTGAGCACAGGGGGCTCAGACACAGGCCCCTGTCAACAGGAGAGTCAGTCAGCATGACTTGGGAGGGCTAAAGGGAAATTTGGAATAAAAAATTCCAAAAGTTTGGAATAAAAACTTCAAGTGTTGATTTCATATTCTTTCCCTTTCTGACACAGCCTAAAGCGTAGGGGGAACATGTGTTTATGTGTGGGAGATAAACAAGATGGAGTCCCAAAGACTTTGACAAAATATTTTTTTAAAAAAAATCCACTAGAATAGAAAATACATTATTTAGATATACTTTATGCTGAGAGTGAGTATATATGCTTGTCCTATTTAAACTTGTGAGAAAAAGTGGTACCCCTTGATACATTTAGAAACCCGGGGGGTTTATCTTGTTTCATAGTAGGGTTGGGGCAGGAGAATGAACACAGGATGACCCTGTTTAAAGAACCTTAGCATGGTCAAGGGGTGGTTCCAGCTGATTACCAGGAAACACAAGCTGTGGGGCTTCTCCTGGTAGGGTGTCAGGAACTCTAAATCCCAAAACTTAGACAGGGAAAAATATGAGACCAATGGAAAGGTGATCTAGCCTATCTCTGCTATTGCACGACATCAAATAGAAACCATGCCTTTGTAAACAAGCAAGTCAGTAAAAGCAATGATCATGTAATGTGGAAAATTGAAAGCATTCCAGTAAAAAAAAAAAAAAAAAAAAAAAGGGGGTGTTTTTTATATATTCGTTTTTAAGATGTATATGTAAAAAAAAAAGGAGTTCACATTATAGATGGACCTCATGAATCAGAAATTGCTTAGAAGTGTGAGTAGTTTCAAATTAGGAAAACGTGAGTGAAAGGCAGCTGTGAACGTACTGCATCCTAGAGAGTTGTGCGCACGCTGTAGCGTAAGCTGGGCTTACTTACCTGGTCCCTTTGGAGTGGAGATTGCTGGAGTCTGCTCTCACCTCAACCATGTGACTGGAGTTGCCAGCCTCAAAGATACACTTAGTCCTCTTCCCCCGTCCTCTGAGACTTCTCCGGAAGAGCAGTCTCCTCACAGAAGGCACCCACCATTTCACTGACAGAACTTCAAAGCATTGGATTCCTTTGCCTTTATTTATACGCTCGGCACTCTCAGTAATATCCAGATGTATTCTTTTTATTAATAGTTACAGGTTTGTGGGTTAGTGGGATTTCAGTAAGGGGACTAAAACCCCTTCTAAGATGGATGAATAGAACCAAAATAATACTGCATGTACTACAATCAAGGAAAACAAGTGATCCTATAATAATTCCAGTTAGTCCTAACGGCATTAGCGGTTCTAATGTCATTTTAGAAATGGTGAATTCTGTGGTTCTTCTAGCATTGTCTCTAACAACTGATGAAATAATTACTCATGGCCCTCTCTGCCATTGTCTTTCATTTTCCACTGTGCAATTAGACTCTTTTACTTCATGTCATGCCACCAATGATTAAGTTAAAAAAAAAAAAACAAAAACTACCCACACCAGTAGACGATATGCTTTTCTACCTGTGACATAATCGTAGCTAATACACTTGTGTGGAGTTTTCAAGACGATTGGTGTCAGACAGTTTTTATCTTGTCCAAAAAGCGCTGGTGGCTTTCTGTGCTGTTGTTACAATCCTCTGTGGGCTTAGGATGTCCATACAGCTTGGTAGCGGGTTTAATTTTAAAAACAAATCAAACGCATAAGGGCATCCCTGGAGTCCCTCAGCCCCAGTTGGTCAAACCCCAGCGACCTTTGCCCCTGGTTGCCAAGGGCTTTGCAAAATGAAGCAGGGAATAAAGATCTGTCTGTTTAGTGGATACTGTGTATCCTTTAATAGACCAGGTAACAGTTCGTGTTAGTTTTAGACTATTGTTTTGTACTGTACTTTCTTGGGTGGCAGAGGAAAGAAAAGTCAAAATGTTAAAAAAAAAAACAACTGCGTTCTTTAATTCTGTATTATTAGCGACCTCTGTTGTATATAGTGTTTGATAATAAAGTATTAATTTGATTCTAATGTCTTTTGTAAGTGACAACAATAGACTTTCAGGATACAAAACATGCATTGAGGCTTTGAAACATCCGATGTATACATGGCTGAGAAGTGACTCGTGTGGTCATATCGCACTTATTCTTACAGCTCCATCGTCTTGGGACCAGAAACAGCAGGACTGCTTTGACTGATACTTTGTCCTCAGTGTTTTCAAGGTCTGATGTCGGAGCTCTGTGGTCATTCCCCCCACCCAAAGCATGTGGTTTGAAAGGTTTAGGTAACTTAGAAATGGTTCTGTACTTTGGATTTCTGTTTGTCATTTTCCCCCAGGAAGTCTTGTCGGTATCAAGTGCGGCTCAGACTCAGGATGGTTGCAGAGCGGTCCCTTTAGGAAGGCTCAGTGGGGCTGTTTCCCTCTCTGTGTCTTTGTGAAAGGAAGAGTCACAGCACCTGTGGGCTTTCAGGGACTCTGTTTTTCTCCTGTGCCTTAGCAACGGCTGCAGCCATTTTTATTAGTTTCACAATATTAGAAAAACAGTTTTAAACTCCTCCTTTCCATTCATTGCTCTCAGAGTTGTGCTCACCAGACTTTCTTTTGAAAACCACCTCCACCAACAGCCCGTTTGCCTGCCTGACCCCTCTGCCCCCCCCCCCCCCCCGCTCTGTCTGTCTCTCTCCTACCTCCCGCATTCTGTTTTCCCTCAGAGCCATGACTGGGCAGGTCTGTCTCTGGTTTGGCATCACTGTTTTTCCCATGCATTTGTCCCAGAGCCGCCCGGATGTGAGACAAATCTCCCTACAATGGGCTCGCTCCCGTTGTTTGTACAGTTTAATAGATGCTGCCATGTTGGAGGTTACCCATGAGTCAAAATCCGTTTTCCATGCTTACTCCTGACACCCCATTGAAGCCACTCATTGTGTGTGCGTCTGGGTGTGAAGTCCAGCTCCGTGTGGCCCTGTGCTTGTACTCCCTGCCTTGCAGTCCTTTGCACTTGCTTATCGAGTGCTGTTTTGAAATGCTGACATTATATAAACGTAAAAGAAAATGTAAGAAAAAAATTGAAACACACACACGCAAATCCATACGATCTGTATTTGTATATACACGTGTCCGTACAAGTATACCTAAATAAAAATTAATGATTTTCATCATTTTAATTGGATCCCTCCTTCTACTTCTTTCTTCCTTTAAGTTACGCCTTTATTTCAGGGGCTATTTGTACTCTACTGATTAAAAAAAAAAACACTCTGTAGATAGGAAAGAGAACATGGCACATGTAGGAGAAGCCATGGGAAGATCAAAGAATGCAGGGTAAAAAATGGCCCATCTATTCTGATGAGAAAATGATGCGATTCCAGCCTTGTCCCTATTTGAGCCGTAAAATAGGCAGTATGACAAGACTTGCATCCTAAGTGACGCAAGTACATCAGGAGTACACACATTTTATTTTTAGTTTGCACGTAGTTTTCTATCCCATCAAGAAAAAGGCCAAATAAGCGTTTCCTAGCAATCATCTGACACTTCAGAAAAAAGCAACAGAGCTCATCATTTCAGTGCAGCCCAAACCTCAGTTCTCACTGCTGGGGAAGAATTAGCTTCCGTGGTGTGGCCATGGCAAATCACAAGATATCTTTAAGACCCTCTTTACCTATCTGGATGTGGCAACATTTTGAAAGTGACTTGTTGCTGTTGTTTGACTCTTTTTGCCCTTTGGGAAGTGTGAAGTCCGTTTTGCATCGTGAGTTTCTGTCCTTGAGGATGACACTGATAAAACAGAAAATTCCATCTGTAGAACGAAAACTAACAAATACATGACGTAATAGACACCTCATGCACTTCAAGACTTGGCTTTAATGGCCCGATCTGAACATTAAGCTCACCAAGATCTTATTATAATTATTTGGCAGGTGCTAAACACTCGTAATTTACCATAACTTTTTTTCTTTCACTAACAAAGAATGACAGCTTTATGTAAAGAATGAAAACCAACACATCGTTTCTAGCTGAGTGTACTGGACTGTGTATGGGACATTCCTAACCAGAACAGCATTATGCTATCATTGTCATTGTCACCGTCATCATCCAAAGCATCGAAGCAATCATTACACTGTTCTCAGCGAGTGCTGCGCGGAACGGTCTTCACAATCCGTACTTTCAAAGCTTGCAACATGAGGCGGACTTGACATGATGCTTCACAATAATAATGTGGAGATAATAGTCTACAGGTCAGCCCTTTAGACCATACACAAATAGGTTGATGACTTTTTTTTTTCTTGAGTGAGTGAAGAAAATTGGGGATTTTAAGATTAGGAAACTCAGAGGAAATCGTGTAAACAGTAGTCAGAATGAAGTTAGAAATGCCTTACAGAACTGAAAACTTGGTGAGTGAAAAGGTGCCGTAGGTTTTAAGAGAGGTGAAACCATGGGGTTGCCTTTCCCAGTTGCTGTCAAGCTGCCTGTGAACATGAGGGACCCCAAGGCAATATGAGTGTCATTACACAAAATTTTGAATGTGTTGGTTCACAGAAATGGACATTTCTTCCCCTGAGGATATGAGGCCAGTAAAAAAAAAAAAAAAAAAAAAAAAAAAGGTGCTAGTTTCAGGTTCCACTTTATATAAGTCATACAGCTGCTCCAGGATCCATGTCTGTATCCATATTAAACAGTTGAGGGTCTCCACAAAGATGGAGGCACACAAGCACGGTGCATGGTGCACACACTCATTAAGGGAACAGAGCACAGTATAAGACGTGCAAACTGATGGGCAGTTGGATCAAAGCTGTGAGCTCCGGATGAGGAGAAAAGTCTCCAAAGAGAGCGCTAGGCACTAATGGCAAAGCAAGACAGACCAGAGTTGACAGACCAATGAACAATGTTACAGGGACCACGCTAGGTTTTCGTGCCAAAGCCTTTGGAATCTGGAGTCATCTGAGGTGCCGGATAGAAACACAGGACATTTAACATTGAGATGGTCATGTGTTTCAGTTTCAGTCGCGACTGAAACACAAATACATATTAGAATCTCATAGGAACAAACTGTAAGTATAGGTGCTATAAGAATGCAAGTAATTTCTGAGAAATTGTCATTGATTGCAACAGTTTCATGGGAACTGTTTGTAAAACAGCTTCTTAGCGATTTCCTGCAAAGCTGTTTCGTGTTCAGCTAATAATATCACAATCCTTTAGGAAAGCATTGTAAAACTGCTGTGGAAAGCATTATGTTTTCCCTTTGGAAAAGAGATATTCCAAAAATCATAAATAACTAATCAGGCCAGTATTCTGTCAGTTTTAGTGTTATATGTTCCATTTTTATTAAGTTGTTTAGCAGCTAAATACATGGTGTATGCCTGTTTTTGAGATGGAACTATTTCTGCTCAATTCTAAGTGGCAACGCTTTATTAGTTCTGTCCCTTGCTTAAAATACAGACAATAAGAAAATGCCTGAGACTTAAAAAAAAGAAGAAAAGACAGGAAATTCTATCGCCCAGAAAAAAGTCAAGGGTATCGCCAAAGGTCTAGTTAGTGTGTGGAAGAGGTGACGTATAGGCCAGACTCGTGAAGAACTTAGTTCCCAGTCACAAATCCTGGGCTCCCTGTGCCAACGGCACTTCCAGACAAGTCTCCTATCTGCTCCCAAGCAGAATGCAATATATATTTACCCTTCCGTGTGCAGTTTTTTGGAACCAACCCTTAGGACGGAGGAGAAGAAATAGGAATAGTGGCCTCGTGTTCATTCAGCCTGCCCTAGCAAAAGGAACTGTGTGTGTTTCCATCACAGATTCCTGCACTCTTTTCAAGGGCCTCTGCATACACTCAGAGGAAAGCATGATTTTATTGCTCATCTAAAATGTCCCCCCTTGTTCGTTCTAAGCATGTTATGAGCTCTGCCATATTGCTGCCAATGACTGCACTGTCAGTACTGAAGCTGAAGGCAGATGAATAAGACAGAGAAAAGAAAGAGTTAACAATCACTGCTGTGGTTTTTGTTTGTTTGTTACTAATTTATTTGTCTTTACTTGAAGAGGAGGCTTTCTGTATCACCAACTAGAGAAACCTTCCTAACTGCAGCCTGAATCATAACAGTTATGAAAAGATGCCAGTGCCAGAGCTAAGGCACGGTGGGCATGGGCAGACCTGACCATTTGGCTTAAAAAAACAGCACCTCAAGGATGCTGTCAATCAATGTTAATCAGGAGAATTCAATCTAGTGGGTGGTTCCCCGAGTCAATAATGTGCTTTGAAATACCCTGGATTTTCATCATGATTATTCAAGCAAGAACTTCATGTCACTTGGTGGCACACGGATGCTTGCCAATCCTGACAAGAACACAAAGGGAGGGGTGGGAAAAAAAATCCCAAAGAGAGATGATGATGGGAAAATAGAACAAAATATTTTTGCCTGCTGTTTTGTTCACAAGTACCAGGTGCTCCCTCAAACTGCACGTATGTTTTGAAATCTAAGTAGCCAGAGTAGTTTTCTTTCCCTCACCGCCATGAAATAAGCCCCTGCAACAAGAGAAGAACAAGTTTATTCACGCACTCGTCCCTGAGAGTGAACTTTATCATCACTCGTGTGTGTGTGTGTGTGTGTGTGTGTGTTTAGAGCTTCCTTTTTTTTCCTTTTGACCCCTTCTATCCCCTCCCCCACCCTCCACCTCCCAGGAAAGGCCCCATGATGTGTATAGCAGAATGTGACAAGTTCTTCCTCTGAAATATGTGTTCTGCTCTGCTGCATGGAGACACATTTTCTATAGTAGAGAGAACAGGACAATCTGTGTCTTTCTAATTTTTTTTTTTTTTTTTACTAAAGACAGTGTGCCAGCCTGAAAGCTGACTCCATTTATTTCTCCTGCAGGGAGCCAGCGTGTTCCTTCTGGAAGACGCAGGTACTTAAAATAGTAATAGGCTTTGTGGTTTATGGAGAGCATTTCATCCCAAGATCTCAAAGGCATGAAGAATAAAATATAAACCAATGGCTCCTTCCAACAAGCCTGGAAGAATTAACTGAAAAGGGGCATTGTCATCTTCCCTCCCTGGAAGAACAGGGCCCAGCAAGCTGCTCTACTCAGGTAGCCCTTGGAAAGGAGAGGTGAGTTCCCATAGGATTTGGACAGGGGCCCCAGTCTGTTACTCCCCATTCCTAAGAACTTAAAGACCAAGGCTGAAGGAAAAACAAATGACATCTTTATCCCTTTATAAAGGAAGTTTCCAAAGCCCTGCAATCGGGAGAATGGGACTGAGAAGTTTTCCAAATACTTCTTGTTTGTGAGTCAGTGGTTTTACCATAAAAGTTTACTCTTCGATGTAACTTTCTTCACTAATTTCTCAAGTCGTTGCCTGCCTTTCAGACATATTCAAGAGTATCTCTATAATTTGGGAAAAGATTAATCATCCTAGGTATCTAGGCAGAATTTAACGTCTGTGGAAGTTCAAGTACCCCATATAAAATACTGTAGTTTGTTTGTTTTTTTAATAAAACCACAGGCGTCACCCTGCATGCTGTCAATCATATCCATACCCCTTACAATACCTAACGCAGTGTAAGTGCTCTGTAAATAGTTCTGGTGCTATTTAGGAATAATGACAAGCAAAAAGCCTGCATTGTCATTACAGATGCGTTTTCAAACAGTGGTTGGTTGAATTCATGGGTGCCAGACCTGAGGATAAGGACACCCAGCTGTAATCTGCATTGTCACATCTTTCAGGTGTCCTCCCTCCCTTCAACCCTCTCCACAGAAACACACTCAGACTCTTTTCTTTTTTTTCTTTTTTTTACATTCTCTAATTTTATGAATTCATAGCAGCTTTTTTCAAGGCATTGTCTGTCTGAAGCAATGCGGCATTTGAAAGGAGACGGAGGATCATGTTAGACACATTTGAAATCAGTCTGATAACATCTAAAGCCACAGGGCAAGAATGTGCGGTTAAAGGAGATCATGCTGGGTGATGGCCAGCCAAGCACGACAATATTCACGTATCTGACCACACTGTAGAGACTTCCCAGAGCTCAGCTGCACAGGAAACCATCTGCTCTGACAGAAGCATCATTGGCATTAGAGACCCTTGGTGTCTTTCCTTCAGCTGTGCTTATTTCCTACCCAGAGAGTGACCTAATGTTACAAG